TTATTTATTTATTTATTTATTTATTTATTTATTTATTTATTTATTTATTTATTTATTTATTTAATGATTATCAAAAATCTGCTATGCCGCAGTGGCTCAAAGGTTTGTAGTACTTTACAAAGTGATCCTTGATGGAAAATATATATGGTAAATACTATAAAAGAATATATAGTATGATAGCATTTGTAACCTTTCCGCTCTTTTACAACAATACAAAACCAATGCAACTTACGCTTTATGCGATATTGTATATTGCTTGTACAATTTGCACTAGTTGATTGAGCGCAGCGCCTTCGGTGCCGCAATCTTACAAGACATCTGAGTCGGCACCTGTATATTTTAATTCCTGTCGAATAATCATTACTAACACAGTGAGAATAATAGCTGATATTACTCAACTCTCTAGAACCGATTTCTGTATTGCTCATTGAATATACTTGGTAGCACTTTGTTTCTACTGACTTCTCTCCTGCCATCGGATTGCTTTAAGAGACTTGAGTCAGGTACGCCTTACCACCAGGTTAGGTTACAACAGCGTGATGTGTTTTTTTGCTGATCAAAATCCAAAGCAATGATCATTTTTCTGTGTAATGTAGTAATCAATACAACTGCTTAAGTTCTACGTAGTAAATAATATTTGCGATATTTCATGTTTATTCTATTTGTTTTAGTGAAACACCAATCTAGATAGGCTACCTGGTTTTCGATTGGTTTGCTTCAGACGCCGTGTGTCGCGTATACATTTTCATATATCTCGATGATAATATTCCCCTATTTATGTCAGTGCTGTTTCAATCTAGGTACTTGAATAAAAACATTTAAAATTACTGGTCTTGTGTATTTTAAACCACTACAATTATAATGATTGAAATATAAACTTTTGTAATAATATTGTTATAAATGACCAGTATTTGAAAAGCGACCTACAATAACAACATTTCTTAAAAAATGCCATTTTGGGTTGCCAATCTACAACTGAAACGTTGTTTTCCGTCGTTTTGCTCGATACAAAAAGCAAATGATCAGATAGACCCGTGCTTTTATTCTGAAAACGAATCCTAGATTTTCTTCCCCGCGCCAGACGGTACATGCTGTTATTGCCTTGACGCAAATAAATGAACAAATAGGTAGACAACGTATTCTGTCGTCACTTCCCGTGAGATTGTTGCTCCAAACGTCGTGAGCGTTTCCTACGTGTTCGGTGATAACAGCGCGGCGCACTCTCTTGAAGGATTTCTGCTGCTGGCGCCGCCACCGGTGGCCGAGTCGGAATTTAACAGCACGCAGCCGAGGAGCGGGTGTGAAGTTTTATTAACCCAACAACAGGCGCGCCTTTGTCATTTTACGACCCGTGCGCTTTGTGTTGTGGTATCTCGAAAATCAGAACCTTTCCCGCACAAAGGAGTGAATAGAACGTTTTAATGAAGCATTTTGTGTTGGGATGTTCGTAAGTACGGCTTAAGATTACTACACTGTTTTGTCTTTGCGAATTTTAATTGGTTTTTGCATGTATCAAACATTGCAATTGAATTGAAATTGGTTTAAAATGACATCCATAGTTTCAAATAAATATGGTTTATACTTCATAATGTTACATAATAATACTTGTGTTTAGATCTATTGAAAAATTTTCAAGCAGCGATGTTTTCTTACAACACATTTGAGACGAACTAAGGTAGTTTTTTATTCACATGTCCAAGTTCCCGTTATCTACCGACGAAGAATAATTTTCATTTAAACCTCGCTTTGTTATGTTAATTATGTGTTTTTAAATTTATTTCCAACTCAGAATAAAAAATAGTTATGTTATTAGAAATTTCATTTTGTAAACCTACATCAACACGATATTTTTCACTGTTATTTCAAGACTATTCTTGTCTACTTCGAACTTTGCAACTTTGTCGAATTGATAGTTGATAGGAAGCTTAAAATATTCGCAAGAACGGAATCGTTTTAACTGATATTGATTCCATACGCATTAACTTGTGAAAAACAGTTCAATGCCTTCCTAAATATTAGAGTATTTTTCGTATTATACAGATTACGATTAAATTTGTGAGCAGTTGTGGCAAAAATGTTCTTTTTCTAACTAACTAGAAGAATGAGATAATTGAATGCCAGTTTAATATTGGCTTGTACAATAAATCATACAACCAAACTTAGAAAAACAACGTTACAAAGTAATCACACTTCTAAGTTACCATTCGAATATATATTCCATGTGAGCAAATCATCGAAGACTATCTGCTGAACTCAGTAGTTTCGCAGCATCAGTAACAGGGATTTCAAATAGAAAATTCATCTTCCATAGCCGTAAAAACCTCTACCTGATCCGTGCAATCCAGCCCCAGTGACCTTGTCAAAGGCAGCTCTTTTGAGAACACTTTCTTATATTTTATCCACGGAGAGTTTGGCTTCAGCAATACATCAACACTGTGACAGCCGCCATTTTCTTCGCTTATATCAGGTCGGCTCTACAGAAATATAGCAAAAAGGGGACGATTTGTAGAGGAAGATTGTACGAGTATTTAGCATACCCTGCTTGAGAGACATAGGGGGTCTTGTGTTCCCTCAGTATTAGAAAACAATACTCCTAATAGGGGAGTTCCCTGCCTTCATGTATTGTCGTGGTCCGTATGTAACATACTAATGTCTTCGACCAAAACTGGAGAAAAAGAATTAGACAGTAAGTCGAAATAATATCTACATTTAATTTTAAGACTTGAAATAAAAATTTACGTAAGTGCCATTTCTGCTAAATGTACGGATTTACCAGAATAATGATGAATGAATAAAGACCTATAACATAGATAAGAACCAAAGTCCAGTCCCATTTCTTTAGCAGACATTTAAGTAAACTAAAATCCGATACACTCATAATCACTATTTGTTATTATAGTAATAAATCCAATTGCGATGTAACAATATGAGAGAAACTAAACGCTGGATCTTCAGTTAGAAGGGACTCGTTTCTCTGAGGTTACAGAGACAACATTCGCTGCTCCGTGATATTTGCCGTATACGGCAACGGTGGACACTTTCGCCATATGGTAGCCAGGTCTACCAGGAGCATTTCACTCCCCGAGACTCCCTGAATAATGAATTCAGAGTGGAGAAATGAAGCGAAGAGGCTTCTCCGTTGGAATGCCAGCAGTTAAGAGCGCGGCTGTAGGCGGAGGATATTTTTATTGGGCACGACGCGTACTTTATACGCTTTCTACCAGTGGAAGGAGCGCAGTTTATACTCCCACCTCCATTTTCGCCTAGGAGACGGTCTTTCCCCTTGCTCGGCGCGTTGTTTTTATAGATGAGGGCTGTTTTGTTTATTGTCGCACCGAGTGCTTACCGCGTAGCTTTCCTGCTTCCAAAGTCGGAAGAGCTGTGCTGTTAAAATACTCGAAAGAAAAGGGGAACGAGAGAGAGGGAGAGGGAGAGAATGAAGAGAAGGGGGAGGGGGCGACCACAAAACACTGGAAGTGTGTGACGGGCCGTTATTCTGGGGAGCTGAACAAACACTTGTTTCACGATCGAAGTGACTTACACGACGGTTGGAGAGAGCAATGTCAAGAGACCCGCCGGTTTGACGCCCGGATAATGTACAGGAGAACTACGCTTATCCGACCACTGATATGCCGACTTCTTCGGTTCACCGAACGGCAGACAGTGGACGGTGCTCTGAGAGGAGAAAGTTCCACTGAACATGTTACTTTGGCAGTTCATAGTTTTCCTGAGTGTGCTATAGCGCCTGTGTGGAATATATGGTCTCTTACAACGTCGGTTATGCCATATATGACACATATCCACAAATCCTGTTGTTTGAATATTGAAAATTGAAGAAATGAATGACATCGAAAATTTACCAACGAAACAACCGTAAGGAAATGTTACTTAAATGAACTAGCAAAACAGAACATTCGGATTTTCGAAGCGATACGACGTGTTAGGGGCACATGGCATCAGGATACGGTATACAAATTAGATTTAACTCCGACTTGCGAATCAAAATTAATTCCAGACGTATAATATGTTTTTTATATTTCCGAAAGGCCAAAAAAATTATTGCCGGAAGAGTGGTCTCGCTTTTTCTCGAGAGGTAACAAGTCCGAAAAAAACAAAAACTTCGGCGAGATCGTGCGAGTTGCATTGCACAGTTTATTGTGTAATCACATAGTATAGTTCTGCATTATCAAAATCGTCTAATGTGCATAGTTCGAGAAATTATTATCCCAAAAAGGATTGTCATCTGTATTTTGAAGAAAAAAAATACTCTAACTGGAGATAGTGTCGTGCTACGATTTCTGGCTAGATACAGCCGTCGTGAGCTACGAGCACATTATGCACGACACGTTATGTAACTATTTTCCGCGCCGTGTCGACGGCACAGAGGAGAAACTCTGTCGTGCATTAACTTGATCGCTCAAGAACGTTGCGTGAAAATACGCCAGCCCTATTCACGGGATAATTGAATCGGTAAGCGACGGCTTTCGAAGACCATTGTTCTCCCAGATCGAAAAGACGAGTCCTTTCAACCAGAGCACCTTTCGCCATTCTACTTCTGATAGACCAGTCACCGACTTGAGAACGTGGACCGGCTGAGTTGGCTCAGGGTTCAACTACATCGACGCTGACTTGGAGGTCCTACGGTTTGAGTCCTGGCAGTGGCGGATTTTGGACACGCTAGATAGCTAGCACGAATTCAGAAGCTGTCTGGAGGAGAACTTGGGGCGTTGTTAGCCGAATGGCTTAACTACGCTCTCGTGAAGTCACGGAAGTTAAGTAACTCCAGAAATTACGAATTCCTAGATGGGTGTTCAACGGGTGGGTGACCTGAATGGGTGGTGATCTTAGTCCAAAGGATGGCTAAGAGTCATATTAGCAAAAAAGGCGAAAATAATTTTTTATGATAATCCAGCAGCTGGCTGGCTTTGATAAACTAACGACTGGCTGTTGTCATCACTTGTGTTCCGCGAATTCTCCTCTCAATACCAAGCAAATGCCACCCAGGAGGCTGTAAGTTATAAAGGTAAAAACCTATTGTATTGCCTAAGCTCAAGGACAAAGTTTCATTCAACGCCGATTTCATGTACTCCTAAGCAGCGAGGTTGGAGCTGTGTTGGAATTGGGAACAAATTCCGGTCCGCATACTCACTCTAGCCATAAAATTGGACGAAATATCTAATTTTTATATCCCCAAATAGTTTGGGGGAAGTAGAACAAAGACAATACATCTACAAGTTTTTTTGAGGGATTCAAAAAATAAGAAATTGCAGCCACACTCAAAGCATATAACAAAATCAAGATGTAACACATTTTTTCCACAACCGAAACATGTCTTTACTGTCTATAGTTGGCATAAAATTTTAAATTATGTTGATAATATAATACACACTATTTTATATTTATTATCCTTATTAAATACACCGTGTTTTTGTGGATGTATAAGACTTACCCCATATCTCAATACAATTTTTCAAAAAGTTCGAACCCTGCTTCGGGAAATTTACTTTTCTAAAATGATGAAGTAGTGTAATTTTAATTGAATGCGAAAGATATTGACTCAATGAATAGAAATTCGAATTGAAAGAAACAATAAGAAGTGCATTATGATATAAAATGCCAAATCATTTATTATTATTATTATTATTATTATTATTATTATTATTATTATTATTATTATTATTAGTAGTAGTAGTAGTAGTAGTAGTAGTAGTATTATTATTATTATTATTATTATTATTATTATTATTATTATTATTATTATTATTAGATCTTTTTCACTTTCAGAACCAAAAACTGCCTCTGCCCAACTCATCATATCAACATTTGACATGTGAGAAACTGAGCACCAGCACACAGTCCCCGTGACTTCTGAAACACGACCCTTTCACAAAAACATCTTTGAGAAAACACTGCGTCTTCTACGCAGTGTGAAAATATTTTATTAATACATTATTTTTCGCAATGGAAGTCTATTGTCAATTTCGCATATCGCGCCGCCTATGAAATAAATTCTTCACAAATTTAATTATCCTATTATTTACCCTGTTTTCTAGTAAATGGCTTCGTAGCCATAGACCTGCCCACTATCACGCATTCACAATCACTTAAGTCTGAATTATTATAAATGGCAGTTGAATTTTATTTTCCGCATAAGGTTCAGTATAGTCTCGGTGCAGCAAGTGTCAAAACAGCGGTGACGCAATTTGAATCGTAATCGGCCTGAAGCAATCATGTGTGCGAGTTTGATCCACGTAATTTTGGGGACAAAAATGTTGTGACAATATTGCGTTGCACAGACAAGAGCATGTACGTCAATCGCTTCCTCAGGCCCTAACTCTAGCTCCTAAATGTGCGGCGTGGCATTGTTTTCTTTCTTAACTGAACCCTAAAAGATTTTCGATTTTACCAGTTGAGGTGGTTAAGGGCAACAAAGGCATCAGTGCAATGCATGTGATCGGGACGTTGTAGCTTCGAGTCCCGACGGTGGGAACATTTTCGACACTATCTAGATATCTGGGTCTAATTCAGCCGCTCTCTGGAAGAAAATTCCAGCGGCAGGCTGGTCTGGTAGTTTTCCGTGGATTCTTCAATCGATACCAAGTGAATGTCGGAGCGGTACTCTATCGAACAGTCACGGACAACATACGATATTTCCTTCATCAGATACTGTTATATACAACACTTTCTTAACATACCAAGAAAGTTAAAAAAGTTTCTCTTCCATACCGTATCACATGAATAGCAAATATATAATGCCGGGCGGACTCTTCCTTGAAGCCTTGCTATCGCATGACACCATCTGTGTCATACGCAGTGAGCATTCTGCCGGTACTCGCAGTATTAGCAATTGGGTTCAAATATTAACGATTAACGGTTCAAATTTTTGCATTTTTTCAGGCAAAATCGAAACTGTTTCATTGCTTTTGGATTTTCCCCGAAATTGCCGGATATCTAACAAAACCGCAGGCACCTCCCACACGGTCTGAGGCTGCAAAGATTTGTTTCAATTTCTGTGCCCAGTGGAAATAAGTAACTTCGATTTTCGCATTTCCGCGATTTGATTCTGTAACCTGAGATTTGACAATGATGCATTTCAAAATACAAAAGATGTTTCAACGAACGACACAAAGAAATGACGAATTTTAGTTATGATTGTGTAAATGAGGAATCGAATGAAGGACTCTAGATTTTCAACGGTAAAAGTCTCAACGTGATAAAACACAACAGAACAGAAATATTCCTTCGTTCTCAAAAGGAAAAAAAGAAAAAAAAGAAATGAGGATAAGGCGCCCTAGGTCTTCAACGAACGCCAGCCGACGACGACGCGGTCTGGACCATTCAACCGCCTAACTGCCCGATTCTCCACGCTCAAACTTCAGCGACTTTCTCCCAGGCCGGAGATGCCCTTGCTCGAGGAAGTCGAGAAAGAGCACCCGCTATTTTTGTAGCGTAATTGTTTACGTGCTGCGTAGGCGGATGTCTCGCAACGAAAGAACAGTTTTAGAGTTTTTGAAAGTTGTGTTTTCGCGTGGGATTCCGGTGAAACATCTCGTGGGAGAATATGCTTTCTGTTTTTTTAATGATGATTCAGTGTACGTAAAATGTTTTCTTTCTGATCATCTGGTGCTTATAGTTTACCATTTTGTTATTTACGTCCTTCCATGATTAAGAAAACGCGGTTAAATTACTTTGCTGCTCAAATAACGTAATTAAAACTGAACATATTAAACATCTTTTGATACGTGTGTGAGTCGGGGTTTCAGGCATTTGGCATTGTGAAAGGCAAAAAGCATTTTTAAGTCTATTTATATACATAGTGAGATATGCATTGGATAAGAGAAAGTGCGTCTCTTATTCATTTTCGAAATGAAACATTCATTGTTATTATTTTCTTGCCGTTATTCGTGCTGACGCTGCCGGTTACGGTGACTTTTGTGAGAGCTAACACGTAATACTTGTTTATTTAAACACATTTATTTTTGCTAGGAAAATTATACTATATTACAACATTCCCCATCACACTACGAGTATTTAAACGGCAATGAGTCAGGAACACTCATATCAGAAGTGTATGCTGCTATATCCTGAACTTCCTGCCAGAAATACGTTGTTGACAAGAACAATTATTTTACTCGTATTATTTGTGTTATTAGGTTTCAATCGTTATTGTTGTTTGTCACGAGACATTGTAATTGATGAAGGATAATAACCGATATTTCATCGAAACCGCTCATTTTTATTGGTGGCACAGTAGTCTTCCCCTACGATCGAAGTGCCACTAAAACAAAGCGGTAGCGGGATGATGTCAAGTTTCTTACAGTAATACACGCCAAGGTCAGGTGCTGGAGCGAATCACCGAAGTACATAATAGTCAATTGCTCATGCGGCTCCGATGCCTGTTCGGCGTAATGGCCGACGGACACGTGCGATTGAGTCGCTAGTTCCGGTAGCTCTCAATAGTTGCGCTTCCATAGCACCACGCGGAAGACGGTACGTCACCACTATTGTTCCTCGAGGCATACTTCGGCGCAAGACACGTGGGAGGCGCGAGGCGCGTTAGAACTCTCCAAGGCCACGTTTCCCGCTGTTTTCGAGAAGTAGATTCGCATCCAGTAGTTATTGTTATTGTTTTGGTAGTGCCGTTCATTCGTAAAACCGTTGTTTGAATGCGTAATTGCTTCTGGGTACAGAGTTCTCTCTCGATCGTGTTTTTGTCGAGTTTTTTTGCGATCCCGGGATAGAACGCTGAGATGGCTTTTTGTTTACTTCTCAACAAATCCAAGCTTTACTCTCCTGTAAGCGATACAGTGTGTGTTGACAAAGTAATTATAGTTATTTTACTATCAATTATTACTTTAATAATAAGTGGCGCACCCAGGACATTTTTCAGGGGATGCATGGACGAGTTAAAAATATACTGTCTAGCAGACTTCATGTTTTCTTAAAAATATTTTTTTATTTATGTTGAATTTTAAATGCATTTTTATTTATTGACTTATAGTTAATATTTATAACGCAAACAATTGATTATATTTCTTTTGTTATTACAGAAACGTAGTAGACGCTATATTTTTTTTAATATACGCTTTATCATTGTCGTGGGGGGACTATGTTTTATTAGCTCGACCTCATTAAAAAATCCCCAATCGATACTGAAGTAAAGGTAAGTTTTCCGAGTAGCGACAGTTTTTAAAACATTAATTATTATTACTTGATATCCGATAATTTCACATTATTTCGAGTGTAACGTGATGTCAAGCAAATAATGAAATTACAAGCAAAATGTCTTTATATATTGATCAGTTTAAGTGCAATATCCAGAAAAAATACAGTGGTGATTAGGTAGATAATGTGTCAATTCGACGTTCATATTTTCGGAGATTTTCACTATTATCCATGGACTTAGCAACAACAACAACCAATATATAATAATAATAATTAATAATAATAATAATAATAATAACTACAACAACAATATTAATATAAAATGTCACACCTTACTGGTGTCATTTGTAAATATTTTTCCATGAACATGAAAGTATGACATAAATACTTTAATTTTTAATTGCCCTATTTTCTTATGAATAGTTATTACATACTTTTACAAAAGCTTGTACAAAAGTTTTAAATACTTGAAAATCATTTCTATCTTACAATAAAATACTAACCACACCGTGTTCATTGTGTACGTCGATAATATGCGTATCAAAGAGCTTTGCATTCTACTCTTCTGCATACTTGCAGCTAGCATTATCGCAGTCGCAGACCCTTCTCGAGCAACCTAGTTTCGCCGTGTGAACTGGGCTTTAGAGCGGTAGTAGAAAGTTGTTCCGACGTATCCGCGTATCTGGAAACACTACAATATTCATTTTATGTCTTTGGGGTCACCCTGCCCTCACTTCCGTGACTAGTGTTCACTACAATCTTTCCATGAAAGTGTGCTGTGATGGTGGATACTTTTGTTCCGGGACGAACAAGCTACTTCGAGCTAAGCGCGTTTCACTAATTTACATGTTTTCATCGAATGATTATGTATTTAATTTATATGTTTAACTTCCTCGAAATTGCTATTAGTGGTCCATCATTAGAGGATGAAGAAAAAAACTTGTTGAACATCTTGATAAAATCTGTGGAATGTCGAGCATTTAAGTTTCGAGTTTGATTATAAAATTGGGAGAACTGCAAAAATGGCGAGGAGGAATTTTATGCCAACACTGAAAGTAGTAGTCACCACAAACTTCATAACTGTTTTAAAACATTTCATGAAAAGTATTTAATTGAAATATAATTTAATAAATTATAATTCATTTTTAAACGTTCTAATGCATTTTCTACAACTGATCTGCGACTACCGACTGCCATCTGTCAAGTATAATACCGTTATGAGGGTATCCAATATGAGGGTTGTAAATAGGTATAATTAGAATGATTCACAACATTTCGTCTATGTGAGTGACTTAAAAATGAATTAGTACGACATAGAAAAATTTAAATGAACATCAAGTCGAAATGACTCATATATGTTTGACATAATTTTCAAAATAAAAGCACAACAATGTTCCGTGGAATGTTTTTGGAGCAACTAACGCATTAGTGATGCCTCGAAAAGTCTGTCCTTGTTTATATTTTTACCTTGTCGCAAAAATCAAAGGATATCGAAAATGAACAGATGAAACGCAATCTCGAGAATGAATGTCCATTAAGTTAAATCATAACGCAGCTCTTCATTGGCATTTATGCCAGGAACAAGCGAGCATAATCTTTCGACAATTCATATTTATTGCTTTGTGCAATAAGTATTCCGAGAAGACTTCGACGGCATCTTGTGAAGCCGATTTTATCGGCGTGGTCTTTC